GCGGTCCAGGTTGCCTGTGTACAGCTTCACGAGCCAGAGGAGCAAGAGGTAGGCTGGGTCTCCAAGGATCATTACTGGCATTTCAATGCCCCGGATGTTAGATTTCTGGTATGGCAAGAAAGTTACAGCTTGCAGCTTTTTAAAGAAATGGGAGTTCCTAAAGATGCATGTCATGCACGTTTCCTAACCATCCCACGTTGATGCTGGTGAAATGGCCCCTGTGAGCATCAGCACCTGCAGCACCATTAAAAAGTAGTTTATATATTCCTTGGCAAAGTGGTTGGATACCAAGGTAGAGACGTGCATTCCATCTGTCACTCCACTAGAGTTAGGGAACCCATCGTAGCAAAGCCATGTTTCTCAGAGACCCTACCCTCCATAGCAGAAGGGTATAGATCAGTGTTTCTTAGACTGTGTTCCGCGGCATACTGGTGTGCTGTGGAGAACAACAGAATTCAAAATGGCCACCCTTAAAGGGGCAGGTGACTTTTTTTGGCTCAACTTCCCCCCCCCCCAACCTTTCCCTTCCCCCCAAAATCCTTGATGTTCCTCATAAAAAGAAATATTATTGTTTTGTGTTCCTCTGTCTTAAAGTTTAAGAAACACTGGCATGGATCGACTTGGCTACTTGGATCACAACAGACCCCACTGTAGATTTCCCCATTCCAAACTGATTCCCAACTGACCAGTTGCTGTCTGGCATTGCAAGCTTCCATGGGGCTATTGCCACTCGCTTCTCCACTGTCAGAGATGGTCTCATTCTGGTATTCTTGCGCTTCCAGGCAGGGGAAAGCATTTTGCAAACTTCCATAAAAGTGGCTTTCTGCATGCAAAAATTGTGTAGCCATTGCTAATCGTCCCATAGCTGCATCACCATGCAGTCCTACCACTCTGTTCTCATCTCACAGTACCAGCAGCAGCACCAGCATTCCACTGTGCCCCAAGGATTGAACGCTGATGGCATTTGCCAGTCATGCAACTCAAGAGCTTCAGAAGATTCTCTCTCCTTCTGGCAGACCCTCGATATACTCCGACTATAATCCAGCATAAAGCACGCCATATTTAATATGATTGCTATAATACTTTAATGCTGAACAGGGTCCATGAAGAATTCCATACTTGCACTGTTATGGCATCTGTGTGGATAACCAGGGAAAAAAGGGAGCAAAAAGACTGTCTTCTATTGTTCTCAAGTCGGGGAGAGGGAAGAGACAAGCATATTATGAGACACTGATGACCTGCACAGTTTTGGTCCCAGAATGCACTGGGAGTATAACCCGGGGTGCAGGACCTGTGGGATAGCTACCTACAGTGCATCGTTTTCAAAGTTGACAGTTGCTACCCAATTGGGGACACGCTACTTCAAACTATGTTGAATTCTTGTGCATGGTGGGGACGTGCACCTTCGACTTTACAAAGTTGGGTGCTTAAAAACAAAATCAACCTTAATAAATTTGGCCTCGTCTCTCAGCGTAGACAAGGCCCAGTTTGTCACCAGAGTTATGTGAAGCAATGGTTTCCAAATAGCTTTAAAAAGACCCATGGTGGAGAGAGGACCAAGCACTGCCTAAATCATCCCTGATAGATGTTTGTCTAACCTGCTCTTAAATATCTCCAGTGATGGAGATTCCACAACCTCCCTAGGCAACTTATTCCAGTGTTTAATCACCCTGACAACTAGAAGGTTTTTCCTATCATCTAACCTAACCCCCTGCCTCCCCCCTTGCTGCAGTTTAAGCCCTTGATTCTTGTCTTATCCTCAGAGGCCAAAAACAATTTTCCCTCCTCTCTGACACCCTTTTAGATACTTAAAAACTGCTATCATGTCTCAGTCTAGTCTTCTCTTTTCCAAACTAAACAAGCCCAATTCCTTCAGTCTTCCCTCATAGCCTATATTTTCTAGACCTTTAGTAATTCTTGTGGCTCTTTTCTGGACCTTCTCCAGTTTTTCCACAACTTTCTTGAAATGGACTGGACACAATACTCCAACTGAGGTCTAATCAGTGCAGAGTAAGGTGGAAAAATGACTTCTCAGGTCTTGCTCACAGCACAGCTATTAATGCATCCGAGAATCAGGTTTGCTTTCTTTGCAACAGTGTCACACTGTTGACTCATATTTAGCTTGTAGTCCACTATGACCCTTAGATCCCTTTCTGCAGTACTCCTTCCTAGATAGTCACTTCCCATTCTGAATGTGTGAAACGGATTATTCCTTCTTAAGTGGAGTATTTTGCATTTGTCCTTATTAAACTTCAACCTATTTACCTCAGCCATTTCTCTAGTTTGTCCAGATCATTTTGAATTATGACCCTATCCGCCAAAGCAGTTACCACTCCTCCCAGTTTGGTATCAACTGCAAACATAATAAGTGTACTTTCTATGACATCATCTAAATCGTCAATGAAGATATTGAACAGAACCGGTCCCAAAACAGGCCCCTGCGGAACCTCACTAGTTATGTGTTAAAACTTCAGTCACCTCCTCATGTACATTTAAGCATTCAAGTGGACCATGAATTTCAAGAGATAGCTTGGTCCTCTTTACTTATCTACTAAACAATGCTTGGCATTGACCTTGTTACAGCCAATTGCAGCTTCACCAACTTTTTCTTCTGGGAGATCCCTCTCACATGACTCAGTATTTTTGATATCAAGAACCTACGAAAGTCAAGTAATATTAGATTTGGTGTTTGAGATAAACATGGATCTAAAATGTTCTCAGATACAGGCAAAACACTATTTTCTAGTTATTCACTGAAGAAGAGATTTTTTTAATAAACCCAAGAGCAGCTGTGTAAACCCAAATGCAAGCTGTGTAAAAGTCATTAGGTAAGTCCTTCCTACCTCTGTCCTTTCTCCCACCCCCACAGACTTGCTCTTTCTGCCTTTGAATTTTAAAGGAATAGCACAGCTTTGAGGAGACTAGAACAGAAGTTTAAAGTATAAGGTTACAAATCCTCATTAGGAAGTGTTCAGTAAAGTTTTCAAAACTTTCTAGTGAGTGAGCTTGCAGATCATGCCTACCCCCACAAACAGTATGAGTATTAATATTTGTAAAATTTTCTAGAGATGACATATCCTATCAGCAATTTTTAAAATTTTTGTGCATACTCTGCATAGAAATATTTTAAAGTCCATTTTTCCCAGTAAAATCCTAACAATTTCACTTTAAGTAAAAACATAGACCCCAACAACTGAATGGTTTGAACTGTGAATTAAACATTTCTTGATACTGATTGTAGCTGTGAGAAGAGTAGTTAATTTCAAGAAAATATTCAATCTTATTAGGAACTTGCAAATGATAATAAGGGCCTTTAAATCATATAGAAATGAGTAAATATAAAAATAAAAAAATCCTAATCCTACCTAAAAAACTCCACATGCCTCTTTTTTCTCCAGATATGTTGGAGGCTAGAGATTCCTTAATTCTAGATGTATTCAGTGATTCACACTTAAAATCAATGCAAGACCATAAAACAAGTATTTCTCAGGAAGAGGTCTGAATAGACCAGTCACACAAAACAGAACTTAATGGTAGCAAGGGCCTGATGATCCAATTTGGAAGTTAAACCTGGTTTACAATCAGCTCCACACAGGGGATCTCTTCCAGCACTATACTAAAGGCTGTCATGTACCAGCTGCTGTTACACAATACGTCTCTCCTGCACCAAGGAAATACCAAGAATGGGAACAGATGCAATGGCTTAGTGCTCGCTCCAAGCAAAGCTAGTCTGCCTTTAACCAGTGTTTCTAATTACTATTTTACAGAATCAACTCTTCATTCTTATTAGGCAGAAAAATGGACTCCTCTTACTGGACATGGGTTCTCAAACATTTTAAAAATTAAGCGTCAGCTCAACCTGGATGTTCAAGATGTTGTGGCACTTTTATTTATGTTTTAATTAAGGAGCTTACCCTAAGTTCTGGTCTAAAATTAACCATCCTGCATACAAATTTGCCATGTACCGTAGATTGGTTGGCTGCTACCCTCCACAGCTCTCTTTTAGAAGCATCCAATCTTTGGAAAAATGCCTTGGAGTTCTTTGGAAAGAAGGTGCAAGATGAATTTAAAGATAATATATAGAGGGATCTGATCTCCAACAAGGAAGGTAGAAGAAGGCACAAAGCGTTATTGCAACTGGCTGTCTCTACTCCTTTCGTTACAGACAGAAAATAACTTTTGTTTGAAAGAGTCATGGACATAAGAATACAGGGGGCAGAGGAGGTGCATCATTGTAACTTAAAACAATTTTTGAAGAAAACAATTTGCTCCCAGGGAGACACTACTTATGTGAAATGAATTTGGACTGTTATTAAATCCCTAGTATGCAATATTATTTAAAAGTAATACTATATACCAGCTGTCAAGAGCAGTCAACTAGACCAATACTACTGCGTTACCTTTTTAAGTACTACTGTTAAGTTTCCTACAGTTGCCCCATACCCTAAAAACTAAACTAAAAACTGATAGTCAATTTAAAAATAGTATCACTTTGCAAGGAGAGACATATTTTAGTTTCATAAAGTAACTGAGGATGATACATTGCCCTCTGTTTTCTACATCTCATTTACATTCTGAATCAAAACAACTTGGTTCTGATTTCTACAGCTGTGTTACAAAGAGCTAAAAAGCAAAGAGTCGTGCATATATTAGCATTTTGCTCAAGATCACCTTACTGTATCTTCATGTTTATATAGAATGTCTTATCTAAAATTGTTTCTAGGAGTATCAAAAATAGTTTCACTTATTTGTCCATATAAAATATCTACAGAAGTAACAAGCAGTATCAATCCTTTTAAAACCACTTACTTTCCATTTGATTATTTTGCTGCAAGTTTATATATATAAAGCTTTTCAATTAATATAAGGCCTCCTTTTATGGCATACTGCACCTTTAAGCATAATACTTATTTCACGCACAAGTAACATTTTCAACCAGAATAATTTTGAGACTTTCTAAGAGCTGGGAAAGGGCATATAAGCACCACTTTGTCACCCACTTTTCTTGTGTCCTTTGTACTGTTGTGACTTAGCCTTTTTCTTTTGCTTTGATGAACTTGACTGGCTATCTCTTGATGCTGAAAAACAGTAAGAATTAAAATTTTGCATTAATGCTTTGGAAAAATACTCCACAATCTTTCATACTAAGAAATATTCATGAGAAAAATGATTACCTCAATGAATGAATGAAGACAGAGCCTAAGTCAAACAGAACACATCCACAAAGGAAAAATCCTCTACTTGGCTTCAGGAACACAATTACCCACATCATATCATGTTTCCTGACTAACTTCTGGACAGTGCACATCTGCTGCTAGGGCTAAAGCTCTGCTCCTTTGAGCAACTAGTTTTTCATAGCAATCATTTTCCTGACTGGAGAAAAACTGTGTTGCTGCCACTCTGATTTCATATTAGGCAAGAAGAAAATTGGGAGGAGGGGAAAAAAAAAAGATGGCAACAGAAAAAGATTAGAAAACCAGACACGTGAAAGAGATCTAAATATGAAAAATGGACACAAACCACACAAGTTAAGCAAGAAATAGAGGCATCAAAAAACAAAAGACTACAAAGAGAGAAATTATGAAAAGAATGAAAGAGGTGAGAAAAAAGAAGGAAATAAAAGAAATGGAGGAAAAATAAGCATGGTTAAGGCAAATAGGAAAAACATCTGAAGAATAAAGTAAGTAAAACATTCCAAAACAGCCATAGCCTGTAATACACATTTTTATATTCCAATTGGTTTATACTTCTCCAGTATGTTCATCTAAATAAAGAAGAAAATAACCCTATCGGTTGACTAAACTGATTTCATGTATTCTTGAAAACCTGCCAACACTTGAAGTATTCAAATCATACACTGCCAGCTACACTAAAACAGCAGCTAGTGTTTACATAGTCACTCTCCAGGGTCTAGGCAGGTTTATGGGACGGAAAAACAAAGTACGCACACACAAGCAAACTGCCTGGGTGCCTTACATTAAAATAGCACATACTATAAGATCTAATCCTCCAACCACTTGTGAATGTGAATAACTATATGCATATTAGCACTGATTTCAATGCATAAAATTACCAATACACATTTGCACAATCAGGGCCTCTTGTCTGCAAAGTGCCACACAAATTGATTGTGTTATAAATGATTGTTAAGAAGTAGACTGCTTAAGCATTAGGCCTATATCTCTGGCCCAAACAAACATCAGTGTGCCCCAGGAGTAGAAATAGAGCACAGACATGCAAATGCTCTGAAGTACTTTATCAGTTAAACAGTGAAACAGATTAGAATAGTGTGCTTCTGCGCATTAGCAAAGGTTTTAGTCCATTTTTGTTGAAGCTGGCTAAAGTTATCAGAATGACCACATATGTATAAAATACTGAAAAGCAACTCGTAAATTTTAGATTTAAAGAAGACCCAGAAGGAATTATTTACAAAGACATAGCAACTTACTTTGTGGTGCTGGAGGTTGTAGCTGATATCCAGTTAATTGGCACCACCCTACAGGATAGAGGTCAGGGGACTCACAATCCACCCATTGATCATATTCTTCTTCCCAGCCATCAAAATGTATCCTCAACAGACGATGGATAATGCGAGTTACTGTGGCCACACATACAAGGCGTGGTTCCATAAGATCTACCGCCTCCAGTTTCATTCGAATGTGAAACCCATGGTTTGGAACTTCCTGAAAAGGTGAATGAAGCAAGACATCCAAACATCAGGAAACCAAAAAAAATCTAACATCTTCACTCTACAAAGTTTAAATACTTCATAGGGGCTGATGTTCAGTCAACTTAAAATTAAAGTGGCATTATTCAGATGGTCAAAGTTGACATGATGAAATACCAAGCTATTATTTATGTCATTGACTATTTTCCCATTTTGTTCCATAGTAAGATTTTTTTCCAGAGTCTGAATGCACACAAATGTTTTCCATTTCTAATAAACAATTTCCCTCTATTTCTACTAGATATTTTTCAAAGCAAACTCAAATGGATTTTGAAAGTAACTGTCTCTGTGTTTCCAGAACAATTAGCACATAAGTAAAGAAACATATTTAAGATAGCTGAAGAGTTAACCTCATGGGACCAAGCAGGCAGGAATTTACAGCACAAAATCCACTGTAAATAGCATACATGCCATGGAGTTACTTTACCAATGATTTATCTTACCTTATTGAAGAGTTTTACAGGTGCTGCTATAGAGTCAGTTTCCCTGAGGTAGTCAAACCATTTGAAAGGGAGTTTTGCATAACCTGTGAATTTTAAATAGTACCTTCGTACATGAACTGTAAACTTAGTTCATTTAAAAACAACACTATTAGTGCTACATTGTCACTTTGAAGACAAAGAAGTTAGACACTAATATAAAAATATTGTTCTCAATTTGAGTTTTTGCTCCATATTGGGTTTCACACAAATCAAACAGAGAAGAAAATACCTTTAAATGTTCTAACAGCCTTTTTACAATGATGTAATTAAAGAAATGTCTGCAAAATCATCTACTCTTTCCTGTGGGAAAAAATAATTTTATCCTTGGAAAGTTGGATATATTTGGGAAAGATGGCTAACACACAATCATTGAAATAAAGTTTTAAAAACCTGGTCCTAGATAATAAGGTTAGAAAAAGGAGCAACAGAGGCAATGAAGGGTTTATAAACTACAGGAGAGAGAACTGTTTCTTAGTAACATGTTAACTTTGTTTATTCTATTGAATTTGCATGGGACAGAGAGAACTATTTTGGGGTAACTTTTCCCTGCCTATGGTTTCTTAGACTAGGAACCTTCAAATTTTGGCCCTTGGAGCAACAATAGTTTGCAGATTTCTTTTTGATGGTCTACAGGATTACACATTCTGAAAAACAAGGTGATAGGGTCTTGGAGTGGTGGGATGAAAGAGAATTCTCATAGGATCTCACTTGAAGTGGGATGCAGAATAAAAAAGGGAGAGCCACTGTTTTAGTCCAACCTGCCACTTAAGATCAGAGCTCAATACGAAAGAGCTACATTACTCTGATATGTAATTAAACTTCAGCAACGAACTACAGTCCCAATCCTGGGAGGTGCTAAGTATCCTCATCTTCCAGTAACTTCACTTGGAGCTGAGAGCACTGCCCATCTAACAGGATTGAACCCTATGGGTTTAAGGCCACTTTTTTCATAGAGTAAAATTTCAAGCTAACATGGTGATATGGAAAAGGTGGCAGCAAGTCAAATTCACACGAATAAACATATCTGATTGGCTGCAGAATCATCAAGATAACAGGGCAAGAGGTGCAGATAAGGTTTGGGGTTTTTTGGTTAGCATGCAGAGATCTTCTGACATACGCATTCATTTTTTTAAACCAAATGTTATCTAAATTGTCCTCACAACAAGACTATGGGAAAAATAGACACAGAGGAAGTCCATGCCAAAGTTAATGTTGGAATTCAGGACTTCCAATTCCCAGCTCTGAAATTTAGTCACTAGAATACACCTCTCATAGGTATTATGGGTGCTAAGATCATTATATTCCATTATTTCTGAAGCAAATGCATTAACCTACTGAAGGTTAATTTTCTACACAACATTCTTACTGCTGTTAGTCATTTTCATAAAATTAAGTTTTACTAAACCGAACGCGATTTAATAATTCTCTATCAATGTATAATACAGGATTGCTATAGAGAATACTAGGGCTGTCAAGAGATTAAAAAATTTAATCATGTGATTGTGTGATTACAAAATTTCATCGCAATTAATGGCATGCACCTCCCCTTTGAAACGCCACTGTGCTGCATGGAGCCCGAGATCAGCGGGAGTCCCCAGCTGACCTCAGGCTCCATGCAACACTGCCCCTTGGAAGCGCCATGGCAGCATTTCCAAAGGGAAGCATAAACAGAGCCAGGGATCAGCTGGAGTCCCCAGCTGATTCTTGGCTCCACTGTTGCAAAGCCCCTTTGAAGTACCAGAGTGGCACTTCAAAGGGTTCTGTTTGCACTGCCCCTTTGAAGTGCCGTTTTGGAGCTTTAAAGGGGCAGCACATTAGGAGCCAGGGATCAGCTGGAGTCCCCAGCTGATTCTTGGCTCCACTGTTGCAAAGCCCCTTTGAAGTACCAGAGTGGCACTTCAAAGGGTTCTGTTTGCACTGCCCCTTTCAAGCACCAAAATGGCACTTCAAAGGGGCAGCGCAAGTGGAGCTGCCCAGCTGATCCCCGGCTCCACATTGCAAAGCCCCTTTGAAGTGCCACTCTGGTGTTTCAAAGGGGCTTTGCAACACTGGAGCCGGGGATCAGCTAGGGACTCCAGCTGATCCCCGACTCCACTTGCGCTGTTCCTTTGAAACAATGGAGCAGCACTTCAAAGGGGCAGCACAGCATTAACAACTGCGATTAACATGTTAGAAAAATTAACATGTTAATTCTGTCCTAGAGAATACTAAAGGGAGAAAGGCAGATGAAAGCAAAAAAAAGGAGGAGAAATGCCAAGATACAAGCAATACAATTTATTAAATGATAATCAACAGATTATCTGTGGTAGAATCAGTGATTAAGGAATAACATTTACTCAGGATTCTTCAAAGACAGGCATCTTTTATCATGCTGTGTACTGTCCATAGTCTGTTTTTATCAAAGTGTGTATAGACAAAATTTCTTATTTTTTTGGAGAAGGGCAGAAAGCTTTTCTTTTTTTTGTAAAGCACAGGGATGGACTATATGTTTTTGCCAGTTCAGATTATCCCCATGATTTTCTCTGTAGTAATTCCACTGAGTTTACAGATCCAATAACCAAGAGTAAATCTGCTCAAGCTATGGATTCTCCACATGCTAAAAGCCAACAGATTCATGTCAGCAAATGGGGACATTATAAAGTATTTTTTCTTTTTGTTGCAGGTACAATTGTCATTATCATGTATTCAGAAAATCTCTGCAATTACTGTCAATGGCAGCTTGCACTAAAGCAGTACATAGGCTTTTCTTTTTTCCTTCCAATCATTTAGATATTTTTAATGAATAGGGACAGAAAAAAAAAAAAAAAAAAAAAAAAAAAAAAAAAAAACTTAAAAAAAAAAATGAAACCAAAAACAAACCGAAAGAAACACTGAGGACCTACCATCTTCTACCAATTGAACTAGGGATGTTAAGTATCGGTTAACTAACTAATCAAGCAGTTGATGGAATTTGTGTTGACTATTTGATGAGGGGCTCCTACTGCAGCTCTGTGCTTTAAGTGCACATTTAAAGTACAGAGCTGCAGCGGGCTTAGCTCCCAGGGGCGCTGCAAGCTGGGACTCAACAGTCCGGGAGCACGCTGCCCCCAAGACTGCTGTGGCTCTGCCTCACCTGCTCCTCCCACACCAGAGAGACAGTGCTGGGCAGAACCAGCTCCCCCAGCACTGGCTCCTGCTTCTTCACCCCCTTGCTGCCTCTGATACAGAGGCAGTGGGGGGTGGGAAGCGACTAGTTGAGTAGTCACTGGACTACCTGATAAGCCTATGCTAATCAGGTAGTCGGCTACTCAACTAATCGCTTACATCCCTAGATTGAACCTCTCTGGTCCGTCAGGATCACAGATGTTGCCAGATTATAGAACTCCTGGACCAGAGAGCCCTAGGAGCCTGGTGCCAGCCCTGGGGCTGGCCATGGAGCCTGGACCCTGGCAGCAGCCCTGGGGACAGAGGGCCTGGTGCAGAGAGCCTGGCATGGTCTGCTGACAGACCTTGGGAGAGCCCAGAGTCTGTCAGCAGTGGGGTTGGAATTGGCCTGTCCTGGTCTGGCAAGCTCCCTACTTCAGCACTGGTCAGGGCCTGAGGGTGTTAGACCAGGGAGGTCCAACCTGTACAATGCAATTACCTATGGTCGTTAAAATGTAATAGTTTAGAGCTGAAGGGCAAGAAAAAACCACCTACAGACACATGAGAGTGCTCAGACAGTTGTGCTTGCAAAAACCATTCCTTAGGCCTTGTTCAAAAAATAAACCCCTTCCACCCCAATGGATATGAAAAATAAATTTATGTGCATTTTAGCCAGAGAGACTAACTCATCATGCCTGATTGATCACCAACATTTTACAATGCTTTTAATTTGGACAATGGCTGTATCATAGTTTCAGTTCTGGGCTGGCCCAGACTCCCTCAAATTGATATCCTTGACACAGTTCTAAAAGTGTCCTGCATATTTCCCACTCCCAGTGACTGATGCTGAATACAACTAATTTTACTCAGTAAGTTTAGTTCCATAATGGTCATATGCTACCTTAAATCTTTGTGTACTCATCCACCGCCCATTTTATTTGCCCTTGAATTAAACAAACATTTAATCGGAACTCTTCTATACATTGAGTTTGACATCTCTGTCTCAGACTATTTTTAAGAAACGCTGAAGTTTGTTGGAAATAAAGATGGCTTTGAAAATGACATGAACACTGCAAAATGATCTAAGAAACCAAGAGTTTGATTATATACAATACTACTGAAAAATAATCAAAACAGAAATTGACCAGAATCATATAAGTACCTCTGGGTGGAGTTAGCTCGATCGCATTAATTTCACAGAAACCAACAGGAAAAATAGAAGGGGAGGTGGCATGGTAACAAAACCAGTCCGACCCATCTGCTGCTTCTGAGCCATCAATCCCGATCATAAGATAACCATCTGCTAATACCTTTGTAAATAAAACCAATATATTACATTAAGCACTTTATGCTCTGTGAAGGGAAGGTTAGAAAGTATGTATGTCACGTTGCAAAGCAGAATAAGAAATCAAACAAGTTATAAGCAACATACGTAGAAGGGACACAACTTAAAAAAAGTCACATCTCTCCAATTTTTTTTATTGGATATGCTATTACGATCATTAACTGGCAACATTAATAGAAGAGAGAGATTAGCGACTCTCAGGATGTATTCCTTTGTGCATTGGGCAATACTGTGTGTACATCAGTTTCCCTCTATATTGATATAGGTAATTTCTTTTGCAGTTTATGAGGGTCTTTTACATAGCAATGGAGGTGAACCAAAAAAATGTTAACTGCAAAACAAAAAACACTGGCAGGAGCATTCTGGGGCAGATGCATTCTCCAAAGCTACTTTAAAAAAAGTCTATTGCCCAGATTTTGCATTGCCAGTACTTCTTTCAGCCACAAGCAATTTTTAAAAATACAATCCTCTAAAATGTATACACATGTAATAAATAGTAATAAACTGCAGATAGGTAAGGGGAGGCTCTTTTGTGGAGGATTAGATTGTCTGCAAAACAGCCAAATGAGAATTAACAAGAGGTTCCATGGCACAAATTTGTCGGGTATTCTGTTGGTCGATCAAACTTCAGGCAGGAATTTGAATGTCCATACAGGTACATTTCATCTGTCTCTGTACCCATCATTCTTAATACCGCAGTAACAGACAAACAGCTAATTCATGGAAACAATTGAGAAGAAATCACAAATTGTACACATTGCCCTTTTATTGGAAGGGGTGGAGAGGTGGAAGAAGCAGGCCAGTGTCTATGCTACTGACTGACACATTGGTTGCTTTTTTAAAATCTTTTTTAAAATAAAATATCAGCTTTTATTATTATTTATTGTTTTAGCCGCAGTATTCAATAGAGAAGGCTAGAAACTAGTTCAATAGATTCATGCCCAAACCCCCCCCCCAAAAAAAAATATATATTCCCTCACCTTCCTAATGGTTGCAACACATATTGCAGACAGGTTTAAGGGATCGATAGCTTCCAACTTCATTCCCTCCTTGAACCATTCTCCACTTGGATCTACTTCTTTTACCTATTGAATCACACAACAGCATTACATAGCTTGCTGAGATGACAAGAACAACTTTTTTATAAGACAACAACATAACACCCATGAAACGATTTGCAGCAAAAAGAACAAAATACCTCTCCAACTCCGGCTGTTTTGATCGCATCAAAATGCCTAACAGCATTTAAAGAAGTAAGTTCCAGTAACGAGAGACCTTTGTGCAGTAATTTGGTGTAGTTTCTCAGTTATGCTTTGTGTCTTCCAGTGATGAAAAATTCCTCTTCCAACTCTTAGTAAACAATCTTACCTTAGCAAATAAATGTGGTGGGGCATCATAGTGTCCATCCTGTTTCTTTGCAATATCTACAAGGGAATTACATACATAAATATTTATGAAGAGACAAAAATCCCTCTAAAAAACTGAACCTTTTCCCAAACACTGATTCATTGAGGGTAGTTGCCACATTGTGCACTTTGTGTATTTTGAGGACACTGATAGACAAAGGATCTGAGAGCATTCACAGAAACACTACTACATAGAAGGCAGCACTGGAGTGAAATGCATACACACTTTTGAGAAGTTTTTAGTGTTAAAGCAGGAAACTGACAAATTGGAAGACTTACATGCATCACTAACGTCAAGGCTTAATATAATTTAATTGTGATTTAGAACATTTTGGTATTGTAGTCATGCTCTTTATTACTCATTTTGTGCTGGATATTCTTGGTCTTGTAATTTTTTTCTTTTTTAGTGTCGTGAGAGCCATAGCTCTGATAAGGTACTAGAGCAGAGGAGCAACCTGATGTTTGCAGCAGTTTGCCATCCCTGATTAGAGCCTCTTCTCTTAAATGAATTCCAGCAGTTCTGTACACAACCTCTTACATGAACTTCCAGAAAGCAGCCATGAGCATGATTTCTTTTAACTGCTTCCCTTTTATTTTTAAATTGATTTCAATCAAGGTTTCCAACCATTAAAAATACTGATATTTTAGTGTCCAAAGCTAGTGCAACATGGAGCTTTTTTGTTCCTGTTCTATGTTGCAGATGAGTGGTTTACATGCAAAGGAGTAAAATACCTTAGCAACAGACAATGTTAATTTATCATTAAGAAGATCACAAAATATTTGAAAAGTAGAAATGTTTTGGTTTTAGGTGATATAAAACATGTCAGACTCCACCTTTTCTGCCTGATAACTTCTGCAATGCAATTACATGCTGCCATACAAAAATATGAAGCATACCAAAAAGCTTGAGGTCAGAGCAAAATAATCTGAATTAAATCTATAATACAAGCGATACCCGTGTTGACTTTACTGTATCACGTGGATGGTGGTAGCTGGTGGAGGAGTGGTATATAATTCCAGGGTGCCAGCAGCAAGACAGAGTAACTACATAGAACACTGGGCTTTGTGCACAGAAGCCATTTGTTTACTATTGCTTATGTTAACATTGCTTATGTTAACATTAGATACAGTCTCAAGGACGGTACCTCACTATAGTTTACTGTAGCTCTTCCAAAAGGAAACACTTTTTAACTAAACCACATGGAATGGAGATCAAGTGTCAATGAAGACATAACTACTTGAATTAGAAGCAGTTTCATTCAGCCAGATTGCTCCTTTTAGCTAAATCACTGTAATAAGCAGCCATCAAGTAAGACTCTACCCAGCTACTACTGCCAGCAAGGTACCTTTGCAACACAAGCTGCTTACCAGATCTTTTGAAGCGATGTCCTATACCTCGGGACCAGCCAATATGATGAATGAGTGGGCTGTACATATGGCACCAGAAATCATCAGATTTGTCTTCGCTTTCTTCATATACCAATCTTAATCGTCCTCCAATTACACTGTCTACAATTGCTACCCGTGTTCGACAGAGATGGGTTTTGTCAACAACTTCTACTCTCATGGAAGGTTTGAAAGGATATTGCATACTTTCTGACACCTTAAAATAATAGGGGAAATGTTTAGTCATCTGCTATTAAAGCACCTTCCACTACAGTCAGTCTGTTTCTCTGCTGCAAAAACCTTCATGAAAATATTCTCCTGTCTGTATCAGGACGATGTAATAACGACAAGATCCATAAAGTGAATTTCCCCCAAAAAGATACATTAAAAAAGTACAGCTATATTAGGTAAGGAAGGCCCTGATCCAACTCTCCCTGAAGTTAATGGAGAGTTTCCATTGATTTTAATGGGAGTTGGCTAGATCATCAGTAATTGATACAGGTACCTTACAGAAAAAATTAATTTATAATGTGAGATCAAGACAAATCAGTTTTTGCTTATTTTTCCTACATATCCAAAGTACAAGCTTGGACTCAGAAGTTCTCCCATTGGGCAGGCAAAACATGGCCCATGCGCCGAATCTGGCCCACCAAGCCATCAGATCTGGTTCTCAAGCACAGAGGAAGCCTCTGCCCACCCCAGCACACTTCTAAAAACAGCTTTCTGGATGCTGTGAATCCAGGGGGAAAAGGAAGGTTTCCGACTAATAGGAGCTGCCTATTTGCAGGGGAGGCAGCACATGAAGTAGGCCCTTATGCTTCCTGGACTCGCAGAATTCAGAGCAGCACACATGGGCATCTGCCTGGCTAAGTAACCTGCTGGGCACGGCTTCTGGCTGGGAGCTGTCCATGTAAGCATCTTCTGGCCACATTCTGCCTCTAGCACGCTAGCCTCTCCTTCCACCAACTCTGTCCCCCCACCCACTCCATGTAACCCACATCCACTGCAACCCTGCTCCTGCACTAACCACTGAAAAGGTAAGGAAAAGAGTAGCTGCAGTTCTATCTTCCCCCACAAGAGGGGCCAAAGTGCCATTGCAAAACAGTTCAATTCCTCATACAATAGTGAACTTGTGTTTATATTACATCGTTTATAATTATATCAAATCAACTTACCTTCTGAGAAAAGTCAGGAGGAAGAGTTTTGGCACCAGTAAGTCGTTTCACTAGAAAAGCTTTCCAGTTTGTGTATTTATGTTGGATTGCTGTTGCAAATGAAGGGGGAAAAGTCAATGATTACTAATTAAGTTAATCTATTAGAGACACAAATAGAAAGTCAGTATTTGTAAAACAATATTAAATTACTTAAAATACTGAATGAAAACATCAGAATAATTAAAACGTATCAAAAGTTTTAACAGCAGAATCCTGCTCTTAGTGTTACAAACACGTGTGTGCCTATCTAGGGGCAGAAAGTGACCTACGGTTTTAAAAAAGACTAGTTAAATAAAACAGAGTACGCTTTAACAACTGATTAATTTTATACTTATGACCTGATCTTAAACACTCTTATTCACACAAGTAAGGAATACTTCATGCAAAAAGCTATAGGATCAGCTCCTCACTGACCTGTAGGCAACGAGATTTAGATATGATTCCTAAATAAGAATGACATCAAATTGGTTACCTGAATCACAATAAATTCAGTTAAATATAAAAGGCATAAGATTACAATCTCTG